TACAGTAGTAAACTGAATGTTAAATAAGATTCGAAATGGCTCAGTTAACCCAGGATATGAGTCGCTGGTGGGCTGTTGTGAACACGGATATGTAAACCTTCGGATTCCATGAAGGAAGGGGAATTTATTGAGTACATGAACAATTATCAGCTTTTCTAAAAGTATTCTACTTGTGAAGTTGTGTTATTGAGTGTAATTTCTGATTTGGATCTTATGAAATCGTATTTCTTCCTTTTTTCAGTTCGTAATAGGTTATTTCCTGAAATTAGTAGGGTTTTTTGTGTTTTGTTATCGTCCAGGGGATTAAAGCAATCATTCGAATGTGCGAGCAATTAAGAGTGCAATGTTCATACGCCAGCGATCCTGATGACAAGTTCGTGGAATGGAAATTCCGAGTGGCGAGACGCGCAGTGCAAAACACTGCAGAAAAAGATGATTACTAGAGGATCGTAATTTTAAAAAGTTTATCGGCGTTTATTAAATTGCGAAGCATTTGAAGCGGGGTTGGTGTTACGTACTTAGAATTCTACCATCTCATTTTGATAATATTATGGGTTATTATGTCGTTCTTTGCTCGAAGTGCATAGCGAGAACGCATTAAGTGCTGGTCGTGTCTGTCCGTCTGTCCAGTCGATTCAATTCGAGAACCACTGGACGGATTTGAATTAAATTTCACATGGCGTTTGTGCTATTCTGTCCGACCTTAAAATTTCATTTTGAATATTTTAAGAGCGGTGATAATAAAAAGACGGATGAAGAAAGTCATGATGTAGACATTTAGGTCCTGCGATTTGGTGGCCAAATTGGAAACTATCCAACGAGAAGGATTTAGTACATCTAAATGCAAGTTTAGAAGAATGCATGATGATTTATATGTATTCCGGTACGGAAAACTTTCCGAGCTTATGGCGTGTTTATTATATAATAACGTGGCTTCTTTCTCTAAATACATTTGATAAATTGTGACATGAAATATATAATGCACCTAAGTGGAAAGTTATTTAGTCGTACTGTAGAATGCTGTGTATGCACTGTGAATCGACGTTGAAAATTGATGATTAAGGTGTATGTTTAGTTACTTTTTTGTTACAAAAACATTTACAAATGATTATTCAGAAATCTGTTAAGAGTGGGACAGAATTTACTTTTTGTTTGTTAATGAGTATGTTGATTAAAGCCTTCCAAAATGCGTGCATAGATGTATGCAGTAAACCCACATCAATTAAGCGTTATTACCAGGCTCAGATAAAATGCCGGTCGTTTTCGGAGGACAGACAGGAATTGTCGGCCGCTGCTCCTCAAAGACGCATATAATCGCAGCTCATGTCGGTTATCATAATGAAAGAGACAACTACAGTTGCTCAGCAACTTTCACTTTGAACTCAAAATTTATGGGTTACTGATCTCTGTAAAGCATTCGTAATTGCTGTTGCTGTCAAAGACCATATTTTGAGCTCCTCTGCGATGAATGCCATGAATACAAGCTACGTGCATGGACTTATTCACATCGAGTTTGTGAAATGCAATTAAGACTCTTAATTTAATGTAATTAAAATAGTACGGTACAGTGAAGTGGGTATCCGCCAGCTGACAGCATGAACAACCTCTTTTTGGACTCGTTCTAAACTAAAAGTTATAACAATGTGCTTGTTAGAATAGCAATTTATATATGATCGTCTGTTTGAATGTAACAGATCGAGAACGGTTGAACCAAATTTCATGAAATTTGATGTCAGAGGGTTCTGTTAAATTTGATTATACTTTCACACCTTTCAATAAAATATTCTCGGGCAATCAGCCTCGTCAACTGGTTACCATATTTGTTTAAATCTTGTCAGTCTAATCACAATAAAATTTCTATTAAATATTAAAATATTACCATAATTAACATTTAAATATTTAAAATATATTAATGATGTTCTCTATCGAAATGTTCGATTTACATTAGATGTAAAAAGTGATTATCTAATGTAAATCGAACATTTCGATAGAGAACATCATTAATATATTTTAAATATTTAAATGTTAATTATAGTAATATTTTAATAATATTTAATAGAAATTTTATTGTGATTAGACTGACAAGATTTAAACAAATATATATTTATCACAATATGACGCAACTTTATCATCTCATGGTTACCATAGTAAACCGACGTTTCAGGAACCAACTCTGTCCCCATCATCATGGTTCAGATGTGACTAGATGCCTGTCACAGTCGACTTCCGAGGTATCCAGTCACATCAGAACCCTGATGATGGGGACAGAGTTGGTTCCTGAAACGTCGGTTTACTACGGTAATCAGTTGACGAGGTTGATTGCCCGAGAAGATTGTACTCGCCGCGAAAGTCTCAAATCCTATTTCACACCTTTGTTTTAGTGTGTCAGCAATAACGGGACCTTTCTTTATGTAAATAACTACATGTGTTTATTCACGTGGAAGTAAATGGGTGGGAAATGTCAAGGCTATCTGAGTTATCGACGGCTCTGTTTTGGTAATGGTTACCTTGGTTCAGTCACGCCATAATACACTTGGCCGGTCACGCATCCATTTGTGGGGATCCTCCATGATGACATCATCACATGAGCCGGTTACCCTGTCCACGAAATGTTATTAATTTCAGACACTTCTGTAATTTAGGACGCCATTTGCAATGGCCAAAGCTAAAATTCTGTCGACGTTACTCTACGCATAGACAAACATTTCCTCATTTATTTAATGCGCGAGTGAATGAGACAAGTCCTTTGATATAGCAGTCACGAATGTGTCTGTTGTATTTTAATTGATGATGGTGATAAAGATTAGTACAGAGAATCGATGAAACAGTGTTTGACACTAGGAAATCAAAACAATGGAGACAATTCTGCCTCTACACCAGTCTGCCCTCCGCGAAATCTATATGGACTCTTCCATAGGTAAACGGGATGAGGCACCAACAAATATCCTCTGATCTGTGGCACATCTCGTATTTAACCAGGCTCTACAGACGAATCCTTCAGTACGATTTCAGCAAAATAAATGTTCGAATGGGCTATATACTAGAGGAATACTGAATTATTCATCGGCGTTCCGAATTTCAGTATGAATGGAGTTATAAACACTTCGTAATTTAAAGTTGTGCCCTTCGCGATTGGAGAACAGGTGATGAGGTACAGAGACGAATAAAGAGGGATCGAGAGAGAGCTTATTGTAAAGTGAAACTATTGAAATGGTAGGTGCGTTTAATAATGAGGACTTCGAATTGGTTGTGAAACGGGGGCTGTTGTTAATGAAATTGAGTTTTATTGCATCTCTTCCCGGAACAAACTCCAAGTTCCGTTCCGGCAGAACTCACATTAGCATACCCTATTGGTGGCTTTGTCAGGCCGCTCTTTAATCCTGACGCCAGAGCAGTGACTTCCTACATCAACTTTGGGGTTCTGAGGTATAAATTTTAAACATAAATTATAGTCATAAGCCTTAATGTTGCGTAATCTTCAACACATTTTTGAGTAACGTACGTGTATGTGTTTTATGAAGAGTCAGTGAAATGGAGGTTAGGTCCGAAAGGGTCTGTTTTTTTTTGACAGTTTGTTTTGTATACGTTTTGTTCTACCTTAGCAGAGGCAATTTTTCGAATTACTTCAGTTTAACATCTGAAGCCTAAAGCTAATCTAAATTGAATTTAATAATTCAGTCCTTACCTAAATAAAAAAACATAACGCGTCTCTATTACAAACATCAACGTCTTAATGTCGTTTGTAGATATAATTATATTTAGTTTTACGGAGAGGTTGTCATGACAAAGTAACGTCATCCTGACTTAAGGGTTTAAGATGGAAGCAGTATGTTCCTCCCAAATGTTTGTAAAACCTAGACGTCCATTCGGCGTTAGTGCCCAAAAGACCAGCATTGACATAATTTTACGATATTAGCTTATTAAACCTGAGAATTATTCGCTGTGCGTAATTAGTCCTAAAAACTTGAACTAATGTACAACAGTGAATTAGCAGATTAATATTAAAATTCAATTAAAAGATATTACTTACTTTATTTGACGTATAAAATCAAAATCCTTGGTACACGTTGGACGGATAACTATTTATGCAGACCTACATTTTGCACTCTTTCGTGTTAGGTTATAAACGTGGCCTGAAGAGTAATGCCCATGGATTTACGATCTCTTTCTACAGCATGCTCTCTGCTACGTAGTCTCTTTAATGTGGTCAAATAGTGCACTTTCTGTATCGACTCTTCATTTAGGTTCCATTTGGAATATGTAACGTAATGAAGAGCAGAGGCACGAAAATTACATCGTATATAGCTCTCTTTGTAAATGTACGAGCGCGTGCAGTCATTACATTAGTCATGTCCTTTGTGGATGACTAGTCAGCTCAAAACAAAATAAATATGAGTTTTCTTAAAATGCGATGAAATTTTGTACCTCATCCCGGAAATACAGAAATAAGGAAGAATCCAGGTAATACATTTTCTCTCTAGGTAAAACATCGAATGTCAATTCGTAAGATAAAAAAATGGATTTTTCATTGTTATTGGTGAGCGTAGTCTGATAGAAGTTTACAGAAGTTTCATAGGTGCTTTCTGCCTCCATCATCAGGGCTATAAATGCTGATGATGAAAGCAGCAAGGACTTCTGAAACGTCGGTCAACTTCTATCAGACTACACGGCGCAAGAACCCAGAAGACAGCCATGTTAATGTTTAGACGGCTTCAGAACAAGTGGCTACATTAAAGTACGTACGACGAATTTATTAAAAATGTCAATATTTCAGTTTGAATACAAATATGTTTGCAGATCCAGGATTTATTGTATGTTGTGGTGATACGTACATTCACGCAGCATTCTTTTTCCAACTCCTTCGTATCTTAAGAATTTTTATTTCTACAGCAAAAATATTTTGTGACTTTGATGTACAAATTGCACAGTACAGATCGCTTATAGACCTTCGTGCTGTATAAATGAACACGTACTGATGTGTTTTCATATCCCGGTTTCAGGACGAAGTGTGTCATCCTTAGTGCAGATCAAAGGACTTCTATTCTCAAAGGTAAGGCAGGAGAGAGGTCAGCTCAGTAGTAATATTGCTAGTGAGGACAGTATTCAAGATAGCCCGAAGCTACCACTACGTTGCTGCAGAACCGTGAGTAAGCCAAATGCAGAGAAGGGTAAGAGAGCAGATCATGGGACACAAAGGAGAAGACGTTGTGTCGAGAATGATTGAAATTCATAACCGTTCTGGCGCCGGCGGATACAGAATGCCGATTAGTCAGCCAGATTAATTAAATTTTAGTAATCATAACAACGAATGTCATGAACACGGTCAGTTAATTGACTTTAGATACGAAGTCACGAATCAGAACGGTTTATCCAATTTTTTAGTCTTTAATTAATCATCAGCGTCTTCATTATTTTGGCTGTGAGTAAGATTATGTCACAAAAGCAGTTCCCGGTCTTACGAATAGTTACGTCCTTGGAGGCATTTAGTAAAACAAATAGCTATTTTCCATAAAATCAATGTTGTAATTGAGGTTAAGTTCCCGAACGATCGAAAAATTGCCCCAAAAATTATAAATCAATAGTTTAATTGTCTTGAAACAGTCACGATTAATAGGGCATGAACCACAAAATTGTTGAAAGGAAACAAAATCTTTTCAAGAAACACATCAAAGGTGTACTGACTCACGTAATTTTCGTTTTTGTTTTCACTGATTGAACAACGTTGTCCATTGTTTGCTTTTTCGTTACTGAGTGTTCAGTTTTGTTCGCAAGAGTCTTAGGATGGTATGCAGTTCATTATAACAGCTAAACATTCTTCGTAAAACAAAGACTGTAAGATTGCATGTCTCATAGAAGTTAATTACAATTGATTGGGATAAACGTAATCAAAGTTGCATGTCATCAGCCGTGACTAGCATTTTCCGTGTCTGTTAGATAAAGTATGAAACATTAAAGTACAGACAGAGAGTGTAGCGTTTGTCTTGTGAGCCTTTTCAAACGTCTCTTCTTAGTATCCTATATTTGATGCAAGCACAAAAACGTGTTCTGATGTATCTGAAGGAAGTAATTGTTTATTTTGTTTTAATATTAACGGATACGTCAAAAATAAATATTAAGTTCTTACATCCGTGTATGTATAAGCCCGTATGTATATACGGCGTGTCCCATGAGTCCTGAGTCATAGGAAAACTCTGTTATTTGGTAAATTACGGCAAAATATAAACAGAGAAAAGTTGTTACAAATTACGTTTTTCCTATCAAAGTCTCGCAATTTTTCGCTTATGAACAGCCATTACGACACTTCTTTACACACCATCAGTAGTAGCTATGATATGATAGTTCGCTAGTAGTTGATTTTTTCCTGATTACTTTCAATCCGTGTTTACTGTAGAACCCATATCTACGCCTGCCGTCTCCCCTTACTACAGAAAAGCTTCCCCCTTTCGCTGTCAAGTCAACGTGGTAGCATGGCCCTAACAGAGTTCTCCTATTGTCTGGCACTTATGGAACACTCTGTAAGTGCGTATCTGTTATGTTCGATTTCAGTGATAGTAGACACATTCGAGCAGTCGAAAGCCATATATTTATTCCCTGTCTGTGTTCGTACAGAACTAAAGCCTTTGTCCCTCCACAGACAGCCATGTTGGTTAGATTCGATAAAAATGGAATGAATGTACTAATGATGTGCTGACAAAGGAAGATGGCATCGTTTATTTAAGCGAAAGTGTAATTTTGGGGTGCTTTTTGTTAGCGGTATTCATATTATTTCGAAAATCACTTACAGAGAATAGCAGTGGTATATTTTTCCCTGACAGAGTTTGAATTACTGAAACTTGTTTAGAATGCTGTAGTTACTCTGTCGATCAACATATGAAATTCATTACACCGGATGCCTAATTCACTTGTGCTATAATAAGCCATGCTTCCACAGCCAATGCTGTTAGTAAACAAACGTGTTGATGTGTGTTCCTTTGAAATATGGCATTTATACAGTTAATGCACACAGATCATCATTACTAAAGGGACAATTTATTTCTTCTGATTCTGAAACACGGAGTACACAGAAAAAAAAACTGTCGGATAATTTTTCTACCTGGACCCCTACGCGCTGTTTTTCTCCTCACTTTGCATAACGTATTAAAAGGCGTGGTTTTTACATTTCCTAACTCCGTTAATGTGCAAGACTACAGTGTTTTAAGTTTAAAAAAACATAAATTTATAACCATGTCCTTATGTTTGTTCTCTTTAATAATTCCTATCTCCAACATGTTTCTTCATTTCAGTAGGCCACAGTTTGCACAGTGGCCCACTTAAACTTCTACACCAGCTGTAGCATACAGATACGCAGACACTGCAGGGTAGCAGATGCTACCACGATAGAAAAAAGAGGCTGAAGTTTAGAACGGG